GGTTCAAGCACCTGCATTGAACACCTTCAAGAGTAAATTGGATGCTTATCTTGCTGGGATCCTATGACCCCAGCTGACTTCCTGCCCTTTGGGTGGGGGGCGGGACTCGATAATCTTCCAAGGTCCCTTCCAGCCCTAAAAAGAAAAAACCAAAAAAACCAACTAACCAACCAAACAAAAAAAATATAGGTAATTTATGGAATTCATTGCCACGGGAGGTAGTGGATGTATTAGCATAGTCAGGTTTAAAAAGGGCCTGGATAAATTCATAGATGATAGATCTGTTAATGGTTGTTGAACAGAATGGTTGGAGATGTTTCCTGTGCCATCTGTAAACCAATAATGGTGCATGTCAGGGTGGATACTGCATGGGGATAGATCACTCTATAGAGCTATCCAGTTCAGAGCTTTCCCTGTATAGCATCCAATTTTGCCACTGTTGGAGACAGAATATTGGGCTAGATGGACCACTGGTTTGACCCAGCCTGGCACTGCTTATGTTCTTACCTATTCAAATCACTGGGAATGCACAGGCATGCATTTGAAGTGCTCCAAATTCCAGAGCCTTCCCCCTGAGTGTTTCAAAATGGCTGTGAAGGCGTGCAGCAGTGATGTTCTCCACCCATGGGGCATCTTGGTCTCTTGTCTCTGAAGGTTTGTGAGGACAGCTGAGCCACAGGAGAGTGCTCGCTGGCTGTACAACTTACTCCCTCCTCTTCTTCCTACCCCCTGTTAGGGTGGGGTAGGGAGTGTGGCACTGTGGGATGCTGAAGGGTGCTGGAGAGTGAAGATGTGCAGATGTTTCAGGAAGCCATTTCTCTTTTTTTTTTCTGAGGGTCATTTTTTAATCACTTTGGCCATTTTTGTAGCAGTGCCTCAAGAACCATGAATTTCTACACTGTTGCTGTATGAAGCACTTCAGAGGCGCTTTAAGTGTTTTAAACAGCACATTTCTCCATAACTTCTGATTTTAAATGTAAATCAGTCAGGTTTTCTAATTGGTCAGCTTATCTTTAGTTGTAAATTGCTCAGTTTTATAATTTTTAAATTGAAGTGTGAATCTTTCATCTATGAATGATTCAATATTAGCTTAATTTATTCATCTTATTATATGATACGAAGATATCACTGGTTATGCTTTTGCGATACATGGAATGTGAACTACTGTGAAACTGTAAAGAGAGTTACATAGCAAAAGCAAAAGCAGGTATCAAATTTAAGCACTAATAGCTAAGACACATCAATGTATGTGTAGACGCATTAAGGCACATTAACACTGTGTATGGACTGACGTGGGACTAACTTTAGTCCCACATCAGTCCACACGCATATGTTAATGTGCTTTAATGCATGCACATGTAGATTCATAGATTCATAGATGTTAGGGTTGGAAGGGACCACAATAGATCATCGAGT